GTCACAATACTTGCCAATTTAGAACATAATTGCATCGGAGTTAAAGAAAGTACGTTCGCACAACGATAAGCAATATTGCGTCCAGTGACGATTTAAGTGGTGATGAGCTTGCAGTTTACAGGCAGGAGGCTGAGACGTTGGACAAGACCAAGAACTACGATGTTAAATGATTTTGTCGTCAAAGATATTCAGGAAGCACAAAACATTATAGAAAGAAATTCCCCAACAAGATGTGCAGATCCACAGCCGGTTGGCTTGGTATTCCAAAAGCCATTACATCCTGCAGCATTACATGTAAGAACAGCTATACAGATTTGTACACGAATTTTAGGGAATTATTGGATCAGATATCATGAACAGCTATTCTTTATGGGACATTGGGACTAACTGTGGACCTGCTAACTCACCCAATTTCGTCGATGTCAAATTTTAGCAAATATTTAGATTGAAGGTCATGTTCGCCCGATTTTTATTAGATTTCCAACTTAAAATACAAATGATAACAATTCATCATCTTCTCTACGAGTTAGGCCTACTATCACCATAGTGATAGTTAATAGGAGAGATGGTTTAGAAACTCATTAGACTATAACACTTTAACTATATTAGTCAAAGTTTATGCAAAAATATGGTCCTTCATCGTCACGTGCATATTGCATTTTTGCCAAATCCACCAATAGCAATTTTAAAACTTGCCCAATTGTTCAAGTCACGGACGGATAACTTTCCTAAAACATTTGTGGTTGGTTGGGCAAAAGTACAATACGCACGTGATGATGATGAACGACGACATTTCTGAATTAACCTAACCAAAACATAGATAAATTAATGCATTTAAGTAGAAATAGTTTGTAATTCTAATATGTTTTCAAACCATCTATTCTATGAACCATATTATATGCTACCACGAGAAAAGTGCTGCCTCAAACATGGCGCTCGGGAAAGTGACTGAACAAACATTGGGCTATTTCGCATTGTTTTAATTTTATGCATGCGGGAAGACTGCTGTCATTGGAATGAGAGTTTACTTAAACGCTTGTGACCCTCATTATATGAATCTTTGAAAATTTAATGTAGTAGAGCGATTAGATCGATCGATAGTTAGATGACGAAACCGAATGAAAACACAGCATGCAATCAGCGCTCAGTACAATTTTCCTCTATTTTTTCCTTAGTAGTTGCTAATTGGAATTTGCTAATCGGAGTAGGCGTTCGCCTTTATTACGTGGCTAATTGAAGTTTGTAGCGCAAGCTGTAACGCACTAAGGGAAGCCTCACATATCGATTTTTTCCACGAGAAACGTCATATGTTCGTTTGGGGGGGGGGGGGTTGGCAGCTGTGACGTTTCTCTGTAAACATCATGGAAAAATTCGATAGTTTTTATCTTTGCAGAATATAAAAAAGAAAACAATTTGATACAAACAGCAGTCTATATATTCGTAATACCATACCTGTTCTATAGACTATACCTATACATGTATATTATTACGCCTTCCTTGCATTGAAAACACTCAAATTTCAAGAAAAACGCACTAAAATTATCAATATTTCATGCAAAAAAAGTTGTTTTGAGAAACGTTGGAAATTTTGAAGGTCATATATATATATATTAATAAAAAAAGAGTATGTCAGCAGAAGACGACATATTCCTCGCGGAAGCATCGCCAATAGCCGATCGAAAAAAATAGTAGAAAATTACCTTATGTGTACTCATAGTGTACTGTAAGAACAAAATATCGATAACTATGTGTGACGTTTCTAAGGGGGAGGGGGTCTCCAGAGAAACGAACATATGACGTTTCTCATGGACAAAATCGATATGTGAGGTTTCCCTAAAAGACGGCAAATATTCCAAACCGACCGACACAAAGTCAGAATTACAGATTCACGTTTACGGCTGGCAAACGGCAAACTTCAATTCAAATCGCATTTGAAGTTAAGTTCTACAAGTTTTCGACAGCTAAGTAGCTAATTCACGCTTCAATTTTAATGTACAAATTGCCGAACAGCGAACAGTTGACCCTATATAGTGAAAATACAAAAAGTGTCCCACTTCCGCTTCTGTAGTTTGTTGTGATTTACTGTCATTGGTTCTGTTTTTCTGTAGCGATTACCGATTTATCGGCAAATACTGCGATAAAATTTAAATTTCGTACCTTTTAAGCAACGAAACTATGAACGAAAAATGTATTATTTCCCTTTGCTACAAATTATCATATTTAAAAATAGAGAAAACTAAGTTTTATCGCGGTATTTGCCGATAAATTGGTAATCGCTACAGAAAAACAGAACAAATTACAGTAAATCACAACAAAATACAGAAGCGGGAGTGGGACACTTTTTGTATTTTCACTGTAAAATACGATTTGAATTAATTTTGTGGTTTGCGGTCTGCCATAAAGATAAATTTTATTTCATTTGGAAAATCTCTAGTGGCTGGTTGTTCAAAGCTGGATTAGTGCTAAAATAAACAATTGATAAAAGGAGAATAGTGCGAATACTAATGCTAACTAATAATATACTCGGACTCAATTAGCTGTCAAAATGTCGCAGATTTACTTCGGCAGAACTGCTGTTTATCGTCTTCATTTACATATGCTTAATTCGAATTGAAGCCCCGTTCTCACGTGGCCAGATGAATTTGGAACCGTCATGTACTCAAATTCGTCCGGTTTCGTCTTGCATTCGCACGAGATGCATGAAACCATGGACGAATTCGAGACCAAATAAAAGTATGTCTCGTTTTGTACCGGAATGGCTCCTAAATTAGACGACGCAATGTGAACAGCGGAACCGGTCTTTTTGAAGACTATTTTGGTAGAAGACTGGAACTGAGCCTGACTGAGACCATCTGCGCACGCGTACCTAAATACTTCCGGCACTTTTCGTCTCGTAATTAATCCGGTTGGACATGTAGAAACAGACGAATTTTAGTACGGTTTCGAGTTCATCCAGGCCCGTCATGTGAACCTAAACCCAGCAAGGTGAGTCTCCTCCAAGCCCTTCCAAATTTTTTTTGCAACCCAAAAGCATGACGTAATATTCCCGCGTGACTGCAAGGCCTGAATAACACATTTATCAGTATGTTTTTTTAGCCCTATGCTATATGGAATCCTGAACCAAGTTGGAAGAAGACCGAAAAAAGATACCCCAAGCTCGCTTGTCATATGAGTATGTAGAAATTACAAAATCATCAAATGCTAATCGCGAAAAGGCGAAAATTCATGATTGGTGTTTTACTGAAAATCATGTTTGATTACCAAACGGCATATTTAAAATATAAGTACACTTTTGATTTACAATTTTATTCGATTTACATATTTCAAAATAAAAATGCGGTTAAAATAATCTTAAATGCGCTTTTACTAATCAAATCCTGATTTTAGAACACGTAATTCTCGAATTAGCATTCATTTTCTAACAAAAAATCTAACAGTAAAGGTTTTTGGAAAAATTTGAAAAAAATGTATATTTCTATAATGTTCCATACAATGTTCCATACAATGTTATGTTCCACGCCAGAATTTGGTCTGACCGGATACTGAGAACCGTTTATATAGCCGGTGCGGTCATAGATTCATGCCTCGCTGTTTCGGATGAACTCTGACCTAATCGTAACCGCTGGCCCTAAGTCAAAAACAGCGAGACATGAATACATGTTCCATAAATGCTCGCATTCACATGCAAAAACTGTTTTGGGCTGCCGGGGCTTCGTTGGGGGCGATGGTCAGAAAATGCGCATTCTACCTCTGGGATCAATTGGGTTCGATTCTCGTCTCCGACTCATGATTCTTATGTAAAAACTGTCAGTGAACGCCCTACCGATTGTTGTAGTGGGTTTTATCTGGGTACTTGAGTTCAATTTCTGCCACATGGAATGTTTACATGGTGACTTGGTATAAGTCCCAAAATTGACGCACCCCATCCGCAGCTATGGTTCTTGATCAAACATTTATCTCATACCTAGCGTATTAGCGGCTTTCCTATGGACCATTTGCATTATAGACTAAATTTTGATCTAGACTGCTTGAAAGAGCATCACAAAATTAGTAATATTCCAAAGTTTCGTTGCGAAATGTTTTAAAATGCGGATAATATAGCCTTGCGAATTTTGCAATTTTCAGACATTTTGTATTACAAACGGGAAATTGATGCCCCAATATCCGATTGGGCTGTCAATTTCCCGTGCGTAATACAAAATGACTGGCTGAAAAACGGCCAACTTCGCATGGCTATATTATCCGCATTTTACAACATTTCGCAACGAAACTTTGGAATATTACTAACTTTGTGATGCTCTTTCAAGCTGTTGTGAAATTTTTGTCTAGATCAAAATTTAGTCTATAATGCAAATGGTCCATTGGCCTCGAGGAGGTGCGTTCAAACTCGAACCCACTTGCTGACTTATGTTTAGGAGGTGGGTTCGAGATCGATGTTTCGGCGGCGGCCATTATGAAGCGATTTGAACAAATTTCAGACGAAGATTTAAGTAAAAAATAAATGAACTGTTTTTAATTGTTTTATGATTATTATTTTTTATTTTGTTTGATAAAAATGGAATATTCTGTATTCAAAGTTGAAGAGAAGAAAAATGGCCGCCGAAATTTGTTCGGCACGGGCAGGTTTATATAAATCTTGGCATTGTTTTCGTAGAATGTGTTCATTTTCTCTTTCAAGAATAAGGGAATATTGTAGAGAATTTCTTAGCTTTAATTTAAGCCTAAGTTTGTTTGTTTGCGTACTATGTTGGCGGCATAAAATGTTCGTTATCCAAACCGGCACGAAATTATATACTAAAAAGTAAATGCGTATAAAATTCTTCCGTACTTTTTAGTATTTTACCTAAATGGCATGTGATAAAAACCAAACATACTTGCAGGTTCGGTGAGTCCAGAATAATCAGCATTGGACGCACCTCGGGTGGCTGGAAGTTTCCCGAACTCACCTCGTTCGCTCGGTGAGTTCCGGGGACTTCCAGCCACCCGAGGTGCATCCAATCCCAGACTCACCTCCCTGCAAGTATGTTTGTTATAGAGTCATATATGATGGCAGCTAGAGACGCCCATAGGGAGCCTTCACGTCGATCTGGCTGAGCTGAGTTCTTCGTAATTGAGTTCAACTTTAAGCTACAATTAAGAATGAGAAGCACCTCCACCCCCGCCATAGCTCCCACTAAATTAGTCGTGCAATATCCGCCGCATTTTTGACAAGTCTTCGCATTGAATTACAGTAAGTTCAAAACCTGAAATCGTTTTGCCATGCAGTTCAAAATCACTTCATTTCACATTATTGTCCCGTAAATATGTCCATCGAAAGACCAATATATATTCTCTATTGTGTTTTTCAGAAATGACAAATTTTAGCTGTGGAGAGCCTTTGAAAGAATGTCCGTGGAATCGTGAAAGTAATTTACCAATCATTTCAGTCTTGAAACATTCTGGTTAACTTTAGCCACTTGGGTTAAATTATAACCAGCTCATGTCGTGCCGTTGTCACCACGCTGGCCTTTCAAGCTGGGAGACCCGGGTTTAGTCCTTAGTCGGACCTAGTAATCAAGTTCTTAAAAGAACTGAGGAGAAAGTGCTACCTTTACATTGACATCAGTATTAATGGTTACACTTTCACCTGTTCTCGGACAAGAACGTTAAAATCGTAGGTACAAGTCTAACCTGGACATGCTGGGATCCCCTATCAATTGGACAGTAGCCGGTTGGAAAGCTCACTAATGTATAAGTAAGAGTTATAAACCGAGTAAGAGGTTTATAACTGATATATTGACCCGAGGACGCGTAGCGTCCGAGGGGCAATATATCAGTTATAAACCGACTTACTCGGTTTATAACTAACTTATATCACACTTGCGGAGGTTTTCCAACATATTTTGTCATTTTCAAAAATTTTTAAAGAAAAATTCTCGCGTTTTGTCTACAAGTTTAATCCAATCATTTATTCAAGGTCTATAAGCTAGTTATAAACCTCGGACGAACAAAGAAAACCGACGCAAGTGTGATATAATCATGGATATAGTGTAATTACCTTGAAGTTCTGCATCGGCATGGCTAAATGAACCGAAAATATGGGAGTGGGCCTTGCACTATTCACCTCCACTTTGGTGAAAGGCCATGTAAAGTCCGCGGTAATGTAAACGAACGCTTTGTTTACATTTTCAACTCAGTGCAACAGTTGTAAAATATGATTAGGTATATATTATGCTGAATTTTTAACACTATTTTGGTTCGCTATATATGCCTGTAAATGATTACAGACTAGAGATTCAATTCAAGAAAGTTCGGAATTCGAAGGTGCGAAATATTAATAACATTCAAATGGTCGGGTCCCGACCATTGGAATGTAGGCGTGCGCAAAACAAATGCGCAGAACGGACTTTGCATGATCTTTAATTATTCATAATGATCAGGATTTTCAATTTTCGTAAATAAACTCACTTTGTTTCTTCTTATATGAATTAAATCGTTTATAGTTAAACCTCCACTGATTGAATACTGTGCACACACGACATCAAGATCAAGTTATCTTCATCCCTTGGATCATCCAATCTGGGTTCGCCCACCTAAGTCGTATAGAAAAGGTGCAGTCGAAGAATTTGCAGCACAAGGAATAGGTAAGCGTACAGTAAAAACGCGTATAAAGAACGACAGGGTTAAGAACTAACAGGCTGAAAGTTAGGCGATTAAGCACCTAAAATAAAATGACGTATTTTAAAAGTATAGGTACCGTTACAGAAATGGCGTTTTTTAAAAGTGATGGGTCCAAAACTTGGGAGCATGCATGTACTGTGCTTTCCCCAATTATGTTTTCTGGCATAAAGTTCTATTTGGAAGATCAATGAACTTTTCTGTATTTTGCCCCATCAGGTACTTAAATTGTTCCAAACGTGTTACCCGACAAATATATTTACATACTATAATTATTTGCTCGTTTAAGCGCAACATTACTATTTAAACTTTAACTTTAGTGTTTCGGATGAGGAGCTTAATATTCGAGGGCGGCACAATTACTTTATTTGTCAACTATAGTCGCTGGAATTGAGACGTTGGGCATGTTTTCTGGCAAAATCTCCACCATCGCAACGGAAATGTGCATTTCCAAAGTTAAACTGAAATAGCATTGAAACATACTTGCCTTTGAACTTATATAATGAAAACTAAGAATGTGCTTCGATTAATTTTAAGCGCGCCGTTTTTGCGAATATGCTGTACAAGTAAATGTGGTATTCTGCCCCCTGGACAACCTAATGTCCTAATTGGAACATATGTGTAACTTATGAGAACATTCTCTGCGACAGTTCCAAATCTCTTACCAAGAATCGTTCTGAAAACGAATAAGGACACATTCCTGAAAAATCTGGTAAGTAAAATGTCTATACCTTTAGCAATTGTATATAATATACTGATAGTGATTGTAGTATAATATGGTGATTAAATTCTTTGATCATGCAAATAACGGTTCATGGCATTATCCATAACAATTTAAATGTTAAGAAACTTACTACAGTATCGAATAGAAATGTTCACATACATCAGTATAAAAATACAAAACAAATGCGAACGCTTGTTGGAGTAATTGTTTATTATTAATAAAAAATCTGAGTAAAAATTTCAACACCGTAAGGCAGTCACAAATCCCAACCACACAAAAATCTCTTAGCATACACGTTGGTCAAATCTAGTAAATTTTCTCGGCTCGTATTGTCAGCGGACATCTTATACAAAATTGGCAGCTCTGTTTTAAGCAGGCCCATACTAAAAATGGGCCTGCGGTTCTGGGAGAAAATTTGCTGAATATGACCAAGCGTGACAAATTTATCTTAGCAGTACAGTTATCTAAAATATTTAATTACTTCTACTTTCAGAAAGCAGCTGGACCAGCTGGGTATCGTACTGTAGGCCAATGTGCTGCAAGAACAATGGGAAAATCACTAAAGGAACAAGCGTTACAATAGTATACAAGTTACAGTGCTATAACTGACCATACGCGAATAAATTATAGCAATTTGCACCATCAACTTATTTTTATTTTGTTGCAAATCCAATTAAGTTCGAAAAATATGGAATGATGTTTTAATTCACTCATTGCCTGTACTGGGAATTTCGGGAATGATTAAGTGTTTTGAACCATCGACTGCCAATGTCTCCCCAGTATTTTATGAATAACTAGTACACCATGTTCAAAGAAAACAAAAAACATGCCATGTATAATTCTTGCACTATTACTTAACATTTTATTATTTACCGGTGAAGATCGAATATCCACCACTCAGGACTGGTGCCAACAGTGATTGATCATAGATATCTTATATACACTAGACAGTGCATCTAATTGTTCTGCAATTAAAAAATTGAAGCCGTGATTGCAGACTCAGGATATTCCTGAAATGAGAAGACTCGTATGTTTTCTATTTCTTAAACTTGGAACTTAAACATTAAGTTAAACCTATTCCAAATACATTTGCAAACTATTCAAATGATGAAAGTTATTGTTGCTTATTAAAGCGTTTATTAGCGAGTGGGAAACTCCAACATGGCCGCCATCTATTCAAATGAGGGTAACCGCTGGAATATTCTTGGCTTCACTTTTACTAAATGAGATGCGCTATCTAGTGTATATAAGATATCTATGCGATTGATTCTCTACACCATGCAGTCCTCCAAATTACTACAAGGAAAGTTATCTCTGCAGCTGTGCTGCTGTAAATAGACTGTACTGTTTATTGTACACTGCTAATTTCAGAGACAAGAGGAGTCAATTTGAACCCAATTGTACTCCACATCTCCAGTTAAATTTGGTCAAAAATAACTGGACTGGGAGCTCGTAAAAGTAATATTTGCACTTAATTTTATCATCGCCCTTTTTGCTCGGCACAAACTATATGCATTTGAATTTAATTCAATCGTCCTCATTATGAAGATTTCGGTTATACATGAGCTACGATTAGGGTACGATTAAAATTTTGACGGATGAGATTTAACGAAAACCAAACCGTGCAGTAAAAAATGTGCAAGTACAAAAATGCACAGCAGAGTGTTTAGTCCATATTACGCGATCAAAATCAGCCGATTAAATAAATGATCAAAATTTAATGAGATGCTATATGTCACAAAACGAACTAAATATATGTTTTATATATCTTCCCTACAAAGTAAAACATGGTACATAATAATAATTCTCATAATTTGGTGCTGGAATTAGTTCGTGTATGTTGATAAAATTTGTTAATGGCTGTCAGCTGGTTTGAGCCCAGCAAAGTTTGTTCTCTTTTTGACTTCAATATGTCGATTGCTTCTGGAGGAGTTAGCTGGTACATCTAAAAATATAGACAAAGCAATTATTGATATAGGACGACTTTGAGCACTCGCATTGAAAAAATACAGAATACTCATACAAGTAACCGATAATATCGGCACATCAATAATTTTCCATTCCTAAAAGTCGCAAAATATTTAACGTAATGTAGGCCTATTATTGTACCAAAAATGTAAAATTGTTTTAAATTATTAGACCATATAGGTTTTATTCAAGTTAGTATAAAAAGATTATTTTAATAACTACGTTTCCGAGTTTAATTAACTCCATCTTCAGGTTAAAAGTAACTGAGGCTTAGATACTAAGGCTTAGATTCCGTCAGATAAGATTTGAAAAAATGTATTAAATATGGAGAAACGCCGTGTACAAAAGAAAATGCTTTCTTCAGTTCAGCCTTTTGAATGATGGTTTTTAAGACGCATTACAACCCTTTTAATTGAAAAAAAAACTAGGAAAATCAATTAAGCTTAATTCAAGATCAGTGACCTCATGCAATGTTTTTAAAATTGAAAATGTTAAAAAATGTTAAAAACATTGAGATTATATACTGATCTTGAATTGTTCTTAATTGATTTTCCTAGTTAGTTTTTTCAATTAATTAAAAGGGTTGTATAATACGCCTCAAAACCCACCATGGCTGAACTGTGCCTTTACTTATTTATAATTTCGATCTATATATCCAATCCACATGCATGCATGCAAGCAGTCGCAATAATTAATATCTGGTATCGATTTTTTTACGTCGCACATCGAAAACAATCAATCATCCGTATATGCCAGATAAAATTTAGTACTACTTTTAATGCTGTTCAGCTGTCATTCACGCTTAAACTGAAAATACCGAACTAATAAATCGGTATTTTCTAAATCAGTACATTTTCGGTATGTCGATACAGTTTTTAAAACTGCAATATCGAATATCTAAGTGCAAATCTGGAAAAAATGAACGAGTGGGTTTTAACGACCATCAAAATTGCACGAGAAAGAAAGACGAGTGCAAATTGACGTCTTTGAAATTTTTTTTCAAATTTTACGAGAAACCATACTATTACTTATATTAATAATATACATGCATGCATGATAAAATATGCAGAAGTTTGAATATACGAATGAAACAAAACAACATAAATGAACGGAGTTTATGTAAATATTTTTGTGCAAAAAGGAGACCATTTCGACATTTTTATCGAAACATTCGTACAGGTAAATGAGGTTTCTAATATTTATATGCTGTTATTGTGATATCGTTTTTACTGGTTTTATTGAGCGTTTAACGAAACGTTTTTTGCTCATTGTTTTTCGACACAGTTAATGAGAATGGGTTGTATATCAAAACAGTTATTGAATTCGGTTTTCGTCTTTTCGAGAATTATTGAGGTCTCGGTATAAGGCCGCATGACTTCCGGCTCGACTGATAACACTTAGTTTTAAACACTTTATTGTATAGTGACCAAAAGGTAGGAGTTCGAACGAGACTCGAGGTCCCATGCGAGGCACTCCTCCGATTAAAGATACAACAAGAGACAATACATGTAGAATAAAATATCCATAACTACATGGTCATAGCCTAAATAAACATATGCCACCAACTCGATTTATGATGCTTAAAATAAACTATGAACTAAGATTTATGATGCTTAAAATTTTCTTAATTTAAACACTTCAGCTCGACCTTGAGAATTTCGGATATCACAAAATCCTCATCCAATAACTGTTTATTATGTGGGATTTAGCTCGTATTTAGTAACGCTTGTAATCGACAAGACAATACGAACCTCCATTAAATAACATGCTACCAGAGCTGCGCTCCTTCCTCTGCCAGCTTTACAATGTACGTAACAACTGGTACTACGGCTATCGAATTGTTTTATGAATCGTACTCCTTCCTTGAGTTTTTCAGGATCTGGTGCGTTGTTAAAGTCTGGTGTAGGCAAGTGCAAATGATTTATTCCCAAGCCTTTCCATTCCTATGGACAAGGATAAATTGGTAAATGCATTAACATGATAAAGCCACGGTCAATCGAGGACGAGGGTTGCCAGCCATGCATTAATTGTTGCAACAGCTAACCAAGTTCGTGTGACTGCCAACCACAGAAATAATATTAGATATATTTATAATATAGCATTTGTAAATTCTGAACGCTGATTGGCTAAGAGCCGTGTTGATGTAACTCAATGTCACACGGAAACGTCGGAAAATTTCTTTCTTTATGTTTCTTTGTGCTATATTATAAAACAATTATAAAACATTTTTTCCGTATTGATATACAGTTATATCAACACTCGTGGAAATTGGGAAAACTCGAAATTGTGCGAAAACATTCCGCCCTTTGGGCGTGTTTCCACACAATTTCTCGTTTTCCCAATTTCCACTCGTGTTGATAGAACTGTATATTGTAAACAACGTTCAATTTTACTATATATTTAATAACATTTAAACACATATCACAATAAAACAGCCGGTTCGGCACTGGCGCTAGCTTTGTTATATTTTCGCCATGTCTGGAGGCATGAACTCTAAAAAGAAGGCGGGTTGTGGGCGTGCCACACTAGCTTCTGATTGGCACGTTGTCTCTACGTCATTACTATCATTTATAATGTTAATATAAACCTGAACCGTTCGATACACTCCCGAGGGTTAATGTTTGTACTAATATAACTATTAATAAACTTAAATCACGTTATTGTGTCACACAGTATCTTTACGATTGTTCTGACTTCGTAGGAAGTATTTAGTAACAACTGTACTCCTTGCGTTCGCCTTCAGCGGTTCCTTTGAAGAGGCATCCTCTTTCGTCTCTTCCGTCGTAGGATCCCTCGCGTGCGTTTCGTTCTTCTGTTTGCAACTCGACCGTATTTCTAGAGGAACAAGGTGTTGTATGGGTCTTCGTAACCATGTTGATTTTCCATTCTCTTGATTAACTACGCGTACCTTTGCCGCTCTAATAACACCGTCTTTACTGGGGAGTAATTCCTCCACCCTAGCTACCTTCCAAAATGATCGTGATGACTTGTCGTTCTTTAAAACTACGATCTCTCCTTCTTCTATCGCCAGCTTACGAGCCGCATCCGACGAAACCTTTGACCTTGATGACTCTCTTAAACTAGCGAGATACTCCGTTCTCCATTGCTTCGCAAACTGGTTTAAAAGCCTTTTGTGATACTTCTGTCGTCGAGTTAGGGATTGATTTGTACTGATCACTTCGAATTGCTTATCGTTTGGCGTTGTAGCGATGTTTCGACCATAGATCAACGATGCAGGTGTTAACGGATAAGACACGCCTTCTTCATCATCGTATACGTAAGTCATAGGTCGATTGTTCAGCGTAGCTTCAATCTCAATCAATAATGTGCGCATTTCTTCAAACGATAATGATGCTCGACCCACCGCCTTTTTCAGACAGTGTTTGACACATTTCACCATTCTTTCCCAGAAACCCCCTTGCCAGGGTGCCTTTTCCACTATAAACTCCCACGTGATTCCTTTGTTCGCCAAATACCGCTGAACTTCCATAGATCTCGTAATTCCCTTGACTTCTTTTGCAGCCGCTTTAAACGTTTTCGCGTTATCCGATAGTAACTTTGTCGGTAATCCTCTTCGAGCGGTGAATCTTCTAAATGATTGTAAGAATGTAGACACTGATAAATTTGGCACAAGTTCAAGGTGTAACGCTCTTGTTGACGCGCAGGTATAGAGACAAATGTACGCCTTTTGCAACTTTCGTTCTTTATCATCTTCACCTTCGGTCGTTAAATATAGTGGTCCAGCGAAGTCCATGCCGGTGTGAGCAAAAGGTGGATCATCGCTTACTCTACATGATGGTAGCTGGGCGAACTTTGGTGTACCGTATGGCTTCCCTTCGTGTTTTCTACATGTAACACATACTCCAATTACACGTTTAACGGCTTCTCGACCTCTTGGAATCCAATATACTTCGCGAATGCAGTTCAATGTTTCTTTGACACCGTTGTGATGGACGACTTCGTGACAGTTGCGAATTACAAGTTGCGTATAGAAATGTCGTGCAGGAAGAAGTATTGGCCGCTTTGTTGTCATGGGTAATGATGATTTATCTATTCGACCTTGGCATCGAATCGTACCTTCTTCGTCCAAGAATAAATCCAACTGTCTTACGAGCAGCGGTTCTTTCTTCGAAACTCCTTGGAGATATGACCTTTCGTCTTCGAAATTGCTTGCCTGTATGGTATTCACCCAAAGTTTTTCAGCTGCTCTTAGTTCATTCGCAGTTACTTCAATTGGCACTGGCTGTCTCCTCGTTTTGTCACCGAATCTCTTTAATAACGCTGTTACTCGTAACAGTTGCTCTTTGGTACTGTACCGGTTGCAATCCATGATGGCTTCTACGTTAGGTGGGGTGATCGTAACATTGGCTAAAGCTCTCGTTATCGTTGGTTCAATCTTGGGCTTCGTGATTTCTGCGAACGCGCTCAGTTCGTCACTCTTCGTAGGTCCTGGTTCACTCGGCCAAGCCTCCTCGGTGCTTCGAATAAACTCTGGACCGTTCCACCACGTCGTATTCTTCGTTAACTCAATTCCGCGACTTCCTCGAGATGGCAAATCTGCGGGGTTTTGTTCGCCTGGGCAAAATCTCCAGGATTCTTTCTGGACAAGGTCCCGTATCTCTTGGACACGATGATTGACGTAAGATTTCCAAACTTTCTCGTTTCTGATCCAACACAAAACTGTGTAAGAATCAGTCCAACAAAACACCTCAGGAGTCGTGTTCAATGACGCTAGCCCTTTCTGGACAGAGTTCATCAATCGAGCTAGGATAGTTGCACCCAGTAATTCTAGTCGTGGTATGGATTGTTTTTTTTTATCGGAGCCACTCTCGTTTTGGAGGCCACAAGATTTACTTCAATCTCTCCGTTATGATGAACTGTTCGCAAATACACTACGGCTGCGTAGGCCTTCGATGAGGCGTCACTAAACCCGTGAAGCTGGTGACCTGTCGGTTTCTCTTTGGTTCTTCGGAAGTAACATCGAGGTATTCGAATGTCGTTCAATGCTGAGAGGTCTACGATAAATCTTTTCCATGCCGCTAACTCTTCTCCGTCTAACACGTCATCCCAATTAACGCCATGAACACACAGAGTTTGGAACAAAACTTTCATACAGATCGTAAATGGGGTAAGGAATCCAAGTGGATCAAACACTTTAGCCGCGAGTCGTAGCACTGATCGCTTCGTAGGATTAAGTGTTGCCGCAAAGTTCACCAATGCAGTTAGGTCATAGTGAATTTCATCAGTGTTGATATTCCAATTCAGTCCTAGAATTTTTATAGAACATTCTGGTTTGGGATCGTCATCAGCTTCGGATCGCGCGGACAAAATGTCGTCATTCGCTTCGTTTGAATCTCTCTCAGTTCGGTTTTCCTTTTCTGTCGAGTTGGTAAACACGTCTTGCTTACTCCCGAGGGGTTTCACTTCAGTTAATACGGTTTCGTCGACTTTACTGCACTTCAGTTCGCCGGCGACTTTCGTCCGAAGAATTGTCGAGTTGGAATTCCATTTTCGCAATTTAAATCCGCCAGAGTTCATGATGTCGTTTGCTTTTTCGTAGATTTCTAAAGCCTGGTCGTCTTCCATCGCACCTCCAACCAAATCATCCACGTAGAACGACTCTTGCAACAATGCAACGACTTCGGGCTCTTTCGTTTTGTGCGATTCCAAATGACGTTGTATAACCGAATTTAAAATAGCTGGGCTTGGGGTCAACCCAAATACTAGGCGACAAAACTGATATTCAACAATGTCTGGATGTTCCTTGCGTATATCGTCGAACCACAAGAAGCGCAACATTCGCCGGTCATCTGGATTTATCTCAATCTGGTGGAACGCCTTTTCCACATCGGCCACGATTCCCACAGGGTAACCCCTGAACTTTACAACGACGTCAAATAGGTGGGGAACTAAGTTCGGTCCCTTTTCCAGGCAGTCGTTGAGGGACAAATTCGATGAACCGTGCTTCGCTGACCCGTCGAAAACTACTCGAACCTTCGTAGTCGCCTTATCTTCTCGAATCACGCCGTGATGAGGTAGAAAATGCGTTGCTTCATCGCTTGCCGAACATCCAGGGACTTTCTCGATTATACTTGACTTTATTTGCTCTTGTATGACTTCATCGTACTGTTCAAGCAGCTCTTGATCAGTTCTCAAGCGTGAATGCAGTTGTCGTAGTCGTTTCAAACATGGAAAATATCCATTTGTTGTGGGCATACGATCATCCTTCCAGGGAAGGCTCATTTGATATCGACCCTGGTTCTTGTCGAAATTTGAATCTCTCAAAAACTCCTTTTCCAGCGACGGGTTTGGCTCGAAGATGCCAAGCGATTCTGTGTCCCAAAACCTTTGAACAGCGCGGATCAAACCTTCGTCTCCAACACTTTCCACTGGATCGAACATCAGCGCAGAATCCGTTTTCTGAACAATGAGTTGCGTGATAGTTGCATTCTTTCCAGGTGTGGATCAATTAAGTCTCGAATGGTTTCAGTCTTATTTGACCGGTCGATCTCAGAAATGTAATGTTAGAGGTTGCTTGTCATCATCTGCATCAGTTACACGTGGTGTACCACAGGGAAGTAACTTAGGACCATTACTCTTCCTTGTGTATATTAACGACCTTCCTAATTGTCTCAGTGCAGCAGTACCGAGAATGTTTGCTGATGATACGAACATTAGTTATGCGGCCAACACTATCGCTGAACTAGAAAATGTTATTAATTCGGAATTAAAAAAATTGAAAAGCTGGTTGGAAGCGAACAAATTAAGCCTTAATATCGCCAAGACAGAATTTATGATAATAGGATCTCGACAACGTATGCATGCGCACACTAACGAAAATATCAATATTGACCTGGATGGTCATGTGATTAAACAAGTTGATGAGGCAAAATCACTAGGTGTAATTATTGATAAAAATCTGTCTTGGTCTAAACACATTGATATGAAGTGTAAAAAGATTTCTTCCGCTATAGGTGCTCTTAAGCGAATAAAACCATTTATATCAACTGAAACAGCAATCCAAATTTACAACGCTATAATTCAACCTCACTTTGATTACTGTAGTCCCATTTGGGACGAATTTGGCGCAACATTATGTGAAAAAATGCAAAAATTGCAGAATAGAGCTGCTAGAGTGATTACGAAATCCAACTACGATGTCAGCTCTGGCATTCTCTTAGAGAAACTGCATTGGGACAATCTTTCCTTACGTAGGAAAAAGCACAAGTCTATACTAATGTTTAAAACCATCAATAAGCTAACGCCAGAGTATTTACAAAACATGTTTACATTTCGCAGCACAGATTATAACTTAAGAAATGCAGAAATGAAGCTAAATTTACCAAAACCACGTACGGACTTTATGAAGCGTAGTTTCTGCTACAGTGGGGCAAGTTTATGGAATGCGCTTCCTCA